AAAGGGAGATTGGAGTCCCTGGGTGGCACGCATAATTAAACAGTTGACTACTAATTGAAAGATTGGTGGTTTGAATCCACCCAGAGGGCTTCAGAAGGCAGTCATGATATTTCTTATGGACTAGTTCTGAGACATTCTGAAACATGGAGGTTGCCATGAATCAGAATCAACTTGATGGCAACTGATTTGATTTTTTTAAAAATAATGACTGAAATCCACTTTGACCCTCTACTAGCACCAAACTAAATGAAATTTAGTGGTGTAAAGAGAAAAATAGAATACTGCTGACAAGAATGTATATGGAGAAAGAAATTTTGGGGTACAATAGCATTTTTTCTTACCATGGTAGTAAGACAGTCTGAAGATTTGTGTGTGTGTGTGTGTGTGTGTGTGCATGCAAATGTAAAAAACAGATGACATTTCTTAAAATTGACTACAGTGTAACTATAGTGTAAACCACTGACCACACATTGGTCAGGTTTCTTCTATAGGAAGCCTCGCTGATTAAAGTACTACAGTCCTGCAAGCTCACCTTAAATCTGAACACCCAAATATTCAACACAGCTATTGCCAACCTTTGTAGCTGTTAGACCGGTTAAGCCTGTACTACTTCAATCTAGACTCCACTGATACTGATGACCTGTTTACTGCTGCGCTCAAAAATGGGAAGTTAATCTAGTATGGAATTCAAGTCAGTGAAGCTTGTTTAATACTTATTGTGGCCAAATACGATTTTCAGTTTTAACTATTCTCAAGTGTACAACTCAGTGGTGTTCATCATAGACATAGCATTGTACAACTATTACAACTCTTCATTTCCATAAATTTTCATTACCCTCAACAGAAACTCTATACTATTAGATAATTGCTCCTCATCCTGTCCTTCAGTCAGCCTTTTGTCATCACTACTCTACTTTCTGTTCCTATGAATTTGCCTATTCTAGATGCTTTATATAAATGGAATCATACAATACATGTCCTTTGTGTCTGGCTAATTGCACATAGCAATATTCCCAGGGTTTATCCATATCATAGCACTTACTAGAACTTTGTTCCCTTTTTAATGGTAGAATAATATTCTATCCTTTATATATTCTAATATATGTATACATATGAAATTTATGTATATATATTAGAAGACTCACAAACATATGAGAAGGTTTCAAAAAAGTTCGGGGAAAATGCAGTGAAAATATAATGGGATTTTCCCATGAACATTTTGAAGCCATCTTGAAACTTTTGGCCAGAAAGTCATCCCAAGTGAGCATTTAGTTCCTATTTTTGGATATGGGAAGAGATATCCTGACAGGGTTTCACAAAATGTAATGGTTTTCATTTGTTTAAATGTATGTTGACTGAGAATCCTCACATATCTTTAGTAGGAGGCTATTTCATGCTTAGTATCCCTTGGTGGAACCCACTTCTGCGTTTGCCTGTATTCTGAATCTTGCCTTGGCTACCACGTCTCCTCTTTTCATCCTCCTCTCCATCTTTACATCACTTA